GATCAAGGATTGCGAGCGTTATGTCCAGACCTGTCCCACCTGTCAAAGGAACAAGCCCTCCAGGAGCAGGGCATGGGGATTGTTACGTCCATTACCTATACCCAAGCGGGCCTGGCAAATGATAGCCATGGATTTTGTGGTCGAACTCCCACCATCCCAAGGCTACACAGCAATAATGGTGATCGTCGACCGCTTCTCAAAGATGGCACATTTTGTACCCCTGGAGAAGACCCCATCGGCACCAGAAATGGCACGGATCTTCATTAAGGAAGTAGTGAGGCTTCATGGGGTTCCCGAAGATATAGTGTCAGATCGGGGAGGGGTCCAATTCACCTCCAGGTTCTGGAACGCCTTATGTAAAGTGCTGGGAATCAAGCTGTCACTTTCATCCGCCTACCATCCTCAGACCAACGGCCAAACCGAGAGGACCAACCAAACGCTGGAACAGTACTTACGATGCTACACACTCCTACCTTCAGGATGACTGGCTGACGTTGTTGCCTTCCGCAGAATTCTCGTACAACAACTCGAATCACTCAGCTACGGGTCAATCCCCGTTCTTTTCCAATTACGGGTATCATCCCACATTCCTCCCTGATCTGATGCCTGAAAATCCGGTACCTGCGTCTCAAGACATCTTGAACTTCTTTTCTGTCAATAACAAAACGATTCAGGAAGCCATCGCTAAAGTCCAAGAGGACAGTAAAAGGGCGTTCGATAGGAAAAGAAGAGGAGAGTTACTGCTTCAACCAGGGGATCAAGTTTGGCTGGCAACGACCAACTTGAAGATGCTATGTCCTTCAAGGAAGCTGGGACCCAAGTACATTGGCCCATTTCCGGTTAAACGAGTAGTCAATGAGGTGGCCTACGAACTTGATCTTCCGCGAACCTTCAAGATACATCCCGTGTTCCATGTGTCTCTCCTGAAGCCATCCAGACCGGATCCCTTCCCGGACCGTGAATCCAGACCTCCCGAGGCAGTCACCATAGGTGACCAGGAGGAATATGAAGTGGAGACTATCCTCAGTTGCCGAAAGAGGGGGGGCCAGACACAGTTCCTGATAAAATGGAAGGGTTATGGCCCTGAGGAGAACTCATGGGAACCCGCCCAGAACATTCACGCACCCAGGCTCATCCGGGAGTTTTTTCGTAGTCACCCGCAGTGGAGAGATCAGTGGGGCTCCCGGAGGGTGCCCATTGGGGGGGGGCAATGTCAGGGATCGCGGCTCCGGAATCCCAGAGCGCGGCGCCTTCCCCCGCGCATGCGCATTGGCGGCGGATCACGCCGGGACACAGGCACTAGGTCCCGGCGAGCCGTGGCTGACAGGACGCCACTCATGCGCAGTAGGAGCCGCGGGCGCGCCTCAGGCGTCCAATGACAGCCGGGGGCACGTCCTAGCCGGCCAATGACAGTGCAGGGCGCACTATTTAAAGATGCCCTGCACTGTCACAGATTGCCGCAAGGTCTATCTGTGATCCTGAGTTCCTGCACCCGTCTAGTGACCCTGATTGACCCTGACTACGCTTCCTGCCCCTGTGATTGACCCGGATTGCCCTGACTATTCTGCCTGCTCCTGTGATTGACCCGGATGCCCTGACCATTCTTCGGACTGACTTACCCTGCTGATCCTGCGCGTGACCCGACTACTCTTTGCCCACCGATTCGGTACCCCGCTTACTCCCACGGGACCTCTACCCGTTACCACCCCCTGCTGGGGCCGCCATCCTCTTCACATCTGGCTCTCCCGGTACCTGCATACGTCCCCGGAGGCCTCCTCAGCCGCTGGTGGGCCTGCTCAGAGGTCATGACCTGGCCCGGGACTGTTTCAAGTCCATCCCCACCATCAGGGGCCCTGGTGAAGGCACAGCCCGGGCTTAGACCCCACGCTCTGGGTAGGTTTGTCAGTTGGCAGCCTTAGGCACCACCTGGCGGATCATAACAACAAGATTGACGCAATCCGTAAGGACATTGTCAATTCACAATCTACCTCTCCACCTAGCCTCCCTGCCTCCATCACCCCCTCAACTCTCCCCTCCTCTGACCTCCCAACCGCACTGCCCCTCACCACACCTAACGTCCTGCACACTATAACCTCCCCAACACTCCGCTCCTTCAGCCCTGCTACCACTGAGGAGGTCACTAAGGTCTTCACTGAAGCCCGCCTCGCCACTTGCCCCCTGGACCCTATTCCCTCACAACTCCTCCAGTCACCCCCATCCTCCATCATTCACTCTCTCACCCACATCTTCAATCTCTCCCCTTCTACTGGCGCATTCCCCTCCCCCCCTAAAGCACTCGCACATCACCCCCATACTCAAAAAACCCTCCCTGGACCCCACTGACCTGAACAACCTTAGACCCATCTCCCTGCTGCCACTCACTTCCAAGCTCCTTGAGCGCTTAGTCTACAATCGCCTAAGCGCCCACCTCACTGACAACAACCTCCTTGATCCACTACAGTCTGGCTTCCGTCCCCTACACTCCACCGAATCCGCCCTACTTAAAATCACTAACGACCTGCTAACCACCAAAGCTAATGGCCACTACTCTGTCCTCCTACTCCTCGACCTCTCCGCGGCCTTCGAAACAGTCGACCACCCCCTCCTCCTTACTAAACTACACTCCCTTGGCATCAGGGACTCTGCTCTCTCCTGGTTGTCTTACCTATCCCAATGCTCCTTCAGCATTACCTATAACGCTGCCATCTCCCCCTCTCTGTTGGAGTCCCCCAAGGCTCTGTCCTCGGACCCCTCCTCTTCTCCATCTACACCTCCTCCCTTGGCAAACTGATACACTCCGACGGCTTTAACTATCACCTCTATGCCGATGACACACAAATTTACCTCTCCACCCCTCACCTCACTCTCCGCCCGCATCACCCACCTCCTAAACGACATATCAGACTGGATGTTGCTCCATTTCCTTAAGTTAAACCTTACCAAAAACGAGCTCCTAGTTTTCCCCCCCAGCCCGCCCCCCCCCACCTTCTCCATCATGACTAACAACGCCACCATCAATCCCACCCCACACGCCAAAGTTCTAGGTGTCACCCTGGACTCAAACCTTTCCTTCTAAACTCATGTCTAATCACTATCAAATGCATGCAGGCTCCACCTCCGCAACATCTCTAGATACGTATGTTCCTCACCCCTGACACCACTAAACAAACTCGTACACTCCCTTATTATCTCATGCCTAGACTACTGCAACTCCCTTCCCACCGGCCTACCCCAACACACGCTATCCCCGCTCCAGTCTATCCTGAACTCAGCGGCTAGACTCATCTACCTCACCAACCACTCCACTTCTGCCACCCCCCTCTGCCAGTCCCTTCACTGGCTCCCAATTGCCCAACGTATTTAAGTTCAAATTACTAACTCTGACATACAAAGCCATTCATAACACTGCCCCAAACTACCTCACTGACCTGATACCCAAATACCACCCTACCTGTGCCCTTCACTCCTCAAAAGACCTCCTACTCTCTAGCTCCCTGGTCTCCTCCTCCCACGCCCGACTGCAGGACTTCTGCAGGACTTCCCCCATCCTCTGGAACTCCCTACCCCAATCCATCAGACTGTCACCTACCCTCCTCACCTTCAGGTGCACCCTGAAAACCCATCTCTTCAGGCAAGCCTACCCCTCCCTCACCTAACAGCCGTTCTCCTCCACTCCTCCTCCTACCACTCCATCCCCCCACAGCCACTTCCTCCTGTACCTCTACCCCCTCCTTCCTAGATTGTAAGCTCGAAAGAGCAGGGCCCTCGAACCCCTCGTATATTGTATTGTTACTGTAATGTCTCATGTATTGTCCCCCCGCTTTAATGTACAGCGCTGAGCAAACCTTTTGGCGCTATATAAACACTGTATAATAATAATAAAGAATCTGAAACACACTAAGGGCCGAAATTTGGCTCTTGAGTTTGCTGCTTGCAAGGCCTTTATTGACCCCCGCCTGTAGGAACTCCAGTACTGAAACTAGGCTATGGGTATCCACTGCGGCCTTGTTGCACCATTGTCAGGGCTCCAGGGTATGACCAGAGGTATGTGAACTGACGCAGGGAAACGCAGGCTTCAGATATGTGATAAACAATAAGACAATTTATTAAAGACTAACAATAATACAAACATAAACGCAGTGCACCAAACCCCAAGCTAACACAAATACATACAACAAGGTGAAACAAACCCAAACCTAAACTGATACAGATACACAGGTACATACACATATAGAGCACAACGTAATCAGGCAGGCCGGGTCGATAACTATCGGGCCACAAGCCAGGGATCAAAACAGGAGAAGTCAGCAGAGGTCAGGATCAGACCGGGTCAGCAACAAGTCAGGCAGAGGCAGGAACAGGAACACAGGTTACAAGATACAGGGGCCCATGGAAAAACACACACCAAGGCACAGACTGCAGGTCTGGCCATCCCTTAAATACACCTGCATAATCAGCTTCAGGTGTTTGGCTGGCTGCAGGGTTGAGTCTCTGATTGCTGAGAGCACCCGCTGGCCAACCCTGGTACTGCAGCCCACAAGGCAGGTGAGTCCCACCATTACTGGCAAGTCCATTCCTGACAGTACCCCCCCCCCCCTCAAGGAGCGGCCTCAGGACGCTCCAAACAGTCCTAGCTGGGCAAAATGTTCCACCGCCCGGGTCTGGTAACTGGCGGGATATCAAAGACTGGCACATCGGGCAGGACTCCGGGCAGCGGCACATCGGGCTGGACTCCCGGCAGCGGTACATCGGGCAGGACTCCCGGCAGCGGCACATCGGGCAGGACTCCGGGCAGCGGCACATCGGGCAGGACTCCGGGCAGCGGCACATCGGGCAGGACTCCGGGCAGCGGCACATCGGGCAGGACTCCGGGCAGCGGCACATCGGGCAGGACTCCGGGCAGCGGCACATCGGGCAGGACTCCGGGCAGCGGCACATCGGGCAGGACTCTGGGCAGAGGCACATCGGGCAGGACTCCGGGCAGAGGCACATTGGGCAGAGGCACATCGGGCTGGACTCCGGGCAGAGGCACATCGGGCTGGACACCGGATCACCAGGCGGAGCAGCAGGCACCGGGCCACCAGGCGGAGAGGCAGGCACCGGGTCACCAGGCGGAGCGGCAGGCACCGGGTCACCAGGCGGAGCGGCAGGCACCGGGCCACCAGGCGGAGCGGCAGGCACCGGGCCACCGGGCGGGGCGGCAGGCACCGGGCCCCCGGGCGGGGCGGCGGGCACCGGGCCCCCAGGCGGAGCGGCGGGCGCCAGGCCCTCAGGGGCGGAGCGGCGGGCGCCGGGCCCCCAGGCGGGGCGGCGGGGTGCCGGGCCCTCAGGCGGAGCGGCGGGCACTGGGCCCCGGAGGGGCGACAGGCATCGGGCCCCCAGGCGGAGCGACAGGCATCGGGCCCCCAGGCAGAGCGGCGGGCGCCGGGTCATCAGGCACGACAACGGGCATCGGGTCACCAGGCATCAGGTCATTTGGCTCGCCAGCGGGCACCGCGTCATCTGGCAAGGCAGTGGGCACCGAGTCACCAGGCACGACAGTGGGTTCCGAGTCAACTGGCACGACCGCGGGCACTGGGTCAGACATTGGATCGTCTGGCTCGACAGCGGGCATCGGGTCACCAGGCATCAGGTCATTTGGCTCGACAGCGGGCACCGCGTCATCTGGCAAGGCAGTGGGCACCGAGTCACCAGCACGACAGTGGGCTCTGAGTCAATTGGCACGACAGCGGGCACCGGTCATCAGGTACCGGATCGTCTGGCTCGACAGCCGGCACCGGGTCATCTGGCGCTGGATCGTCTGGCTCGACAGCGGCATCGGGTCACCAGGCATGACAGCGGGCACTGGGTCATCAGGCATTGGATCGCCTGGCTCGACAGCGGGCATCGGGTCACCAGGTATGACAGCGGGCACCGCGTCATCTGGCAAGGCAGTGGGCACCGAATCACCAGGCACGACAGTGGGCTCCGAGTCACCAGGCATGACCGCGGGCACTGGGTAAGACATTGGATCGTCTGGCTCAACAGCGGGCATCGGGTCACCAGGCATGACCGCGGGCACTGGGTCATCAGGCATTGGATCGTCAGGCTGGATCAGTTCATCAGGCTGGGTAGAGACATCAGGCTGGGTAGAGACATCAGGCAGGGTAGAGACATCAGGCAGGGTAGAGACATCAGGCTGAAGTGTGGGGGTGCCGAGAGCACCAGGCTGAACCACGGAAGGCAGGTTCTTAGACGGCAGGCTCACCGGTTTGGATACTGGCAGGATGGTACTGGTTGGAAAGAATTTTCGCTTTTTTCTGGTTTTAACTACTGGAGCACTGCAAGTAAACGCAGGTCTGCAAACGAATGGAGCACCTGAGGACAGAGAAGAGCTGGAAGATGGAACAGAGGAGGGAGCAGTTGCTAAAGAGGACTTCTTTACAGGGTTAAAGAAAGGATAGGTGCAGCGAGTGGGAGCAGAGGACTGGTATGTGGTAGTTAGAGTATACTGGGTAGTCACTGGGGGTACTGTCGGGGATGCAGGAAGAGTGCCTTGAGTGGAGGAATGATGTTGTAAGCTGACTGAGGCTGGGTGCAACAAGTCTGACCATGTCTGCAGTATGGGTTGAACAAAGCTCCGCTTACACAAAGCCTGTCTGGTCAAAGACTGCGCTGCATTTATACAATCTCTTAGTACCTGTGGTGAACATGCAGAATAACGCTCCAGAAAGTAATCCACATCATCCTCTAATAACCATACCAGGGACTCTACCTGGTCGGCACTAAATGGCGGCAAAAATTCATCCCTGCATTCGGGGGTACCAGATGAAACCAATTCAGCACAAACCTGAATCAATGGCTGCACCTCAGAGAATTCTGTGCCCTGATCTACTAGGCAATGAGCGATCCTTATGCATTCTAGCAGTTGATCCCTGGGATACTCCTTCAGAGTCTGATAAGCATATTCTCTGTCATCAAACACTAGCAGTGACAAATACACAACCTCATCAAGATCCATCCTTCCCAGCAACAAGCCAAGATGGCTTCCCTGTGCAGCCACTTCTGGTCAGGATTGGCCTTGGCGTAATGTCAGGGCTCCAGGGTATGACCAGAGGTATGTGAACTGACGCAGGGAAACGCAGGCTTCAGATATGTGATAAACAATAAGACAATTTATTAAAGACTAACAATACAAACATAAACACAGTGCACCAAACCCCAAGCTAACACAAATACATACAACAAGGTGAAACAAACCCAAACCTAAACTGATACAGATACACAGGTACATACACATATAGAGCACAACGTAATCAGGCAGGCCGGGTCGATAACTATCGGGCAGGTAGGTACAGGAGGAGCAGGCGGAGAGAATGGTCAGGGTCACAAGCCAGGGATCAAAACAGGAGAAGTCAGCAGAGGTCAGGATCAGACCGGTCGGCAACAAGTCAGGCAGAGGCAGGAACAGGAACACAGGTTACAAGATACAGGGGCCCATGGAAAAACACACACCAAGGCACAGACTGCAGGTCTGGCCATCCCTTAAATACACCTGCTTAATCAGCTTCAGGTGTTTGGCTGGCTGCAGGGTTGAGTCTCTGATTGCTGAGAGCACCCGCTGGCCAGCCCTGGTACTGCAGCCCACAAGGCAGGTGAGTCCCACCCATTACTGGCAAGTCCAAACCTTCCTGTAAATGGCTTGAGTTTCTGTTTTCCTGCTAGCCAGGAGGGTAGCCACCAGCCTGGCCGAGAGCCCCTTAGCTAACAGGAGTTGTTGCTCAGAAACCAAGCTGTTAGTTTCAGCCTCTACACCCTGGGACACAGGACCAGGCCCTGCGACACTAAATCCTTCCTCGGAGGTAACACCCAGGGTGGCCGCGTGGCTAGGGCCCTCAGTGTTGCGAATTACGCCCTCCGGGGCCAATATGGAGCAATCAGGATGAGAGAAGTTCTCTCCGACCTGAACTTCCTCAACACCACTGACAGTAAGGTGACCGGGGGGAAGGCGTAACACAGAGAAAAATCCCACCTTTGTCCCAACGCGTCCACAGCCCGCGCTCCGTCCCACCGGTTTAGAGAAAATATAATCTCGGGACCTTGTTCTTCTTCCCTGAGGTGAAGAGGTCTATGTCTGGGGATCCCCACTTCTTTACAATGGCCTGATAAACCTTTCCATTTAGGACCCATTCTGACTCTCTCAGTTGTCTTCTGCTCAGAAAGTCAGCTACCTGCTTCAGTTCCCCTTTTAGGTGGATGGTTGATAAGGAGGCAAGATTTCTTTCTGCCCAGGACAGAAGCACTGCCGCCAGGGTCCAGAGAGACCTGCTGCTTGTTCCTCCCTGTCTGTTTATGTAGGCTACTGCTGTTGCATTGTCTGACAAGACACGAATATGCTGTCCCTCGATCATGCTCTGGAAGGAGCGGAGTGCTTCTAATATCGCTCTCAGCTCCCTCCAGTATGAGGATTCCCCCTTCTAAAGTGGAGACCATTTCCCTGGAATCTCCTAGGTGGGCCCCCCAACCTTGGGCGCTGGCATCCGTTGTGATCTCCCTGACCACCGGGAAACTCCCTAACAGCCCCTGAGTCATATTGGCTGCCTTTCTCCACCACCACAGGGATCTCCTCACACTGGAGGGAATATGAATTCTGGTATCTAAGGACAGCACCTGCTTGTCCCAGACTCTCAGAACGAAAAGTTGAAGGGGATGAAGATGTAGCCCTGCCCACTGTACTGCCGGGATGGACGAAGTCAAAAGTCCTAATATTGACATAGCCTGCCTCACGGTTACGTTGCGGCTTCCTAGTAACAGCCTGATCCCCCCGTCTAGCTTGGCAAGTTTTTCTGAGGTTAGCATGGTCTTCTGCCCTGTGGAATCTAGTATGTACCCTAAATAGGTCATTCTCTGGGAAGGAACTAGGCAGGACTTGTCCAAGTTCAGCAGCCATCCAAGACCCTCCAAGTGTCTCCTCACCACTGCCACGTCCAGCGCAAGTTGAACTGCCCAACCCGCAAATAGAAGCAGATCATCCAGATAGGCTACTACTGCAATTCCCTTAAGCCGAATAGGAACTAATGCTTCGGCCAGGACTTTGGTGAAAATTCTTGGTGAGGAGGAGAGTCTGAACGGCAGGGCCCAAAACTGAAAATGGTGCGTCCCTGCTGTACTCTGAACTGCCAACCTGAGGAATCGCTGGAATGCACATGCAGATAGGCATCCTTTAAGTCAATGGAGGCCAGGAATGCCCCTGGTGGAAGGAGGGCTCTGATTGTAAAGATCGAGTCATCCGGAATTTTTTGTAACGTATAGACTCGTTCAGGGGTCTCAAATTCAGAATTAACCTGTAGGACTCTGACGGTTTCTTAACCACAAACACGTGGGAATAGAACCCCTGCCCCACTTCTGCCTTGGGAACTCTTACCACCACTTTCTGTGCCTCCGCAAAGCCTCCTGAAGCGAGGCTAGGAAAGCTGAGGCCCTCTGAGGACATCTGGGCAGACTCGTTATTAGTAATCTTTTCGGCGGTGGTCTCGAAAATTCCAGTTGGTAACCCCTTCTTATGATGTCCAAAATAAAAGGGCTGGAGACCTCCGCTTCCCACTGTGGAAGGAAGGCCGCCAATCTTCCTCCCACCGGGGGAACCGAGTCACCGTGGTTTCTGGGGCTGTTCAGGAGGACGGAATATCGCACCTCCCTTGCCCCTTCCTCTCTGTCCCCACATCCTCCTCTGTCCTTCAGCTCTAGGGCTCTAGGGCTTAGGGGCTTTGGGGGACGAAATCTCCTAGCCTCTAAGTCCTGTAACTTTCGCTTTGGGGGGAAAGACTTTTTTCCTGTCTGCCGTCCGGTCCAACACTGACTCCAATCCCGGCCCAAACAGGAGATCTCCTGAAAAGGGGATGCCGCATAGTTTTACTTTAGATGTGATGTCCCCCTGCCACATCTTCTTAAGACACAAGGCCCTACGGCAGCGGTTCTCAACCTGGGGGTTGCGACCCCTTTGGGGGTCGAACGACACTTTCCCAGGGGTCGCCTAAGACCATCGGAAAACACATATTTCCGATGGCCTTAGGAACCGAGACACCGCTCCTCTATCCGACTCCAGGTGTGGGCGGGATGACATGCCGTCCCTGTCATCTGGACACACACCCGGGATCAATCCTTGTCGGTGATTGGCCGCTGGAACTGTAGCTCAGGAGATGCACACAGGCGGCCAATCACCGGCGAGGAGGTGGAGCTTGGAAAGGAGGAGCCGAGCGGAACCGCGAAGATCGAGCGAGTGAAGAGGAGGAGAGCGGCCGGAGAAGGAAGACATCTGACCGGTAAGTGTCTGTACCATTGGAGAGGGAGGAGGGAGCGAGCGAGCCCAGGCTGGAGCAGGGGTCGGCAAGGTAAGTATCATTGGTGTCAGTGGGAGGAATAGTGCCCAATCATTGGTGTCACTAATACCAATGATGGGGCACTATTCCTCCCACTGACACCAACGATGAGGCACGATTCCTCCCCCAAATGACACCAACGATGGGGCACGATTCCCCCCCACTGAGACCAACGATGGGGCACTTTTCCTCCCCCCACTGACACCAACGATGGGGCACTATTCCTCCCCCACTGACACCAACGATGGGCACTTTTCCTCCCCCCACTGACACCAACGATGGGGCACTATTCCTCCCTGACTGACACCAACGATGGGGCACTATTCCTCCCACTGACACCAACGATGGGGCACTATTCCTCCCACTGACACCAATGTTGGGGCACTATTGCTCCCCCTGACACCAACGATGGGGCACATTCCTCCCACTGACACCAACGATGGGGCACTATTCCTCCCACTGACACCAACGATGGGGCACTATTCCTCCCACTGACACCAACGATGGGGCACTATACTTCCCACTGATACCAACGATGGGGCACTATTCCTCCCACTGACACCAATGATGGGGCACTATTCCTCCCACTGATACCAATGATGGGGCACTATTCCTCCCACTGACACCAGTGTTGGGGTACTATTCCTCCCACTGATACCAGTGTTGGGGCACTATTCCTCCCACTGATACCAGTGATGGGACACTATTCCTCCCACTGACACCAGTGATGGGGCACTATTCCTCCCACTGACACCAATGATGGGGCACTATTCCCCCCACTGACACCAATGATGGGGCACTATTCCCCCCCACTGACACCAACGATGGGGCACTATTCCCCCACTGAAACCAACGATGGGGCACTATTCCCCCCACTGACACCAACGATGGGGCACTATTCCTCCCCCCACTGACACCAACGATGGGGCACTATTCCTCCCACTGACACCAATGATGGGGCACTATTCCTCCCACTGACACCAACGATGGGGCACTATTCCTC